ACCCTTCAGTGTTGCCCCTGTACCGGACCGGGGACCGGCAACGGGATTGCAACCCTCGGTGTTGCTCCCGCGCCTCACTCAGCCAGTGAGCGGGAACCGGTCTGTATGTGGGATCCGAACCCTCGGGCAGGAGCGCCCGCCGCGCTTCCCAAGCGGCGCACTTATCCAGTGCGCCACCGGGCCGGCCCCAAATATCAATCTTTTTTTTTTTTTGTCTTTTGTCTTTTTCCGTGTCCGGCAACGGATCGCACCCTTCAGTGTTGCCCCTGTACCGGACCGGGGACCGGCAACGGGATTGCAACCCTCGGTGTTGCTCCCGCGCCTCACTCAGCCAGTGAGCGGGAACCGGTCTGTATGTGGGATCCGAACCCTCGGGCGGGAGCGCCCGCCGCGCTTCCCAAGCGGCGCACTTATCCAGTGCGCCACCGGGCCGGCCCCAAATATCAATCTTTTTATTAAAAGAAGAATCTCCATGTAGGATACATATCAAAAATTATGATTTTTTTTATATGCGTTTTTTTTTTAACATGAAGTTAACCTGTGTTAAATTAAGGCATCTATGGCCTACATCAAAAGCTTCTAAATGCAAAAAGTAATATAATAATATACACAAGAGCTGGGTTTGCTGGGAGTAATGCCCAATATATAAAACAGTTAAGGCTAAAAAACACTGGAAGAGACAGAAACCCAGAAAATTAGAGATAAGTCCATTTTTCAAGTTTGCAGTGAAGCTGAAATACTCTTTTTAAATGATACAGAGACATTGTCTAACCCTAATCCTGGATTCTAGGTATTATTGTAAACCTCACCAACAGGTATCTCAAGGAGGATTTGATGATATTCAATAAAGAGAAAGCACAGTTTCTGTCTCCAAGACAGACTTTTCCAGATAATTTAACTCAATTAAAAAACAACACGGTAACATCCTTCCTTCAATTCCATTATGATATAGTCATTTGATACCAAACTCTAGTATATGGTATATATTTACTTTAGAACTAGAATTGACAACTTTGGTTCATCAAAATTAATCTAGTAATGTATCGAAAATAACCTATGAGTGCCCTAACCAGACAATAAAAAGAAATAAACATATATTTTGGAAAGAAATAAAACTGTCTGTATCCAGAGTTTGCCTGATTATATTTGTGGAATAGCCAAAGGAATCTACGAACAAACCACTAAAACTGATGAATTTACACAATCGTGAAATTCAAGGTCAATATACAAAAACCATCTGTATTTTTATATACTAGCAACAAAAACTTGGAAAGTGAAAATCAAAAACAATGCCACTATGTCTTACTAACATAAAAAAAAATAAAATATCTAGGAATAAACTTTTTAAAAAGATGAGTAAGAACTCTACCTAAAATACTTCAAAACACCGTGGAGAGATTAAAAAGGCCTAATAGAGTTATATCACGTACATGCATTAGAAGACAGAACACTGTTAAAAAGAAAATTCTCCCCAAGGTGATCTACAAATTCAATACAATCCCAATCAAAATCACACTAGGCATTTTGCGGAAACTGACAAGCTTATTCTAAAACTAATATAAAAATTCAAAGGACCTAGATATCTACAATAATTTTGATGAGTAAGTATACTACCAGATTGTAAGAATTACTTTGCTACAGTAATTAAGACAGTGCAGTAAGGGCATAAAGACAGACAAACAGGTCATCAAGAAGACTGAATAGAAGGTCGCCAGCATAACTCTCTCCCACAGTTGACCAATTTACAACCATTAAAAAGCAAAGACTGACAACCTGGCACCACTGGAGCTTGAAGGAAGAGGAGACAACTGCAGAGTTCATGAAGGCGGGAGAAGCAACTATAAGAGGAAGAAACTGCTCTGAACTTTTTCAGTCCTGGCCATTTCAGGGCCCGCCCTGTGAGAGAAGGGAAGAAGCCGCAGCACATGGAGCAGGAGCCAGCAAAAGCCACAGCTAAGTCCTTCGTGTGAACTTGCCTGGAGTCTGCAGGAAAGAATAGGGCCTCAGAGTGTACCATCCTAGCCCGCAGGCCAGTGAGACCACTGACAGGTTTCCTATGGACCCACACAGGAGCAGGAGGCTGCAGCTAACCAAAGAAAGGAACCATCCAGAGGCCGGTGAGTCATCATGAGGAATCCGTGCATGGCCCATCCCATGGGAAGCATTTGGAGTGCAAGAGGGAGGCAGACCTGCCAGGAGAACACTGGGGTGCAAAGTGGGCAGCTGATTTCCTATTGGCACAGGCACATTCAACGAAGACTGGTCAGGGTGACAGAACTGCAGGGGGCAGGGTGTGCTGGAAAGACTCAGTCCTGGGCCAGAATTCCCACACAGCCCAGGTGTATCCAACTTCACGAGACCCAAAAGTGATTAAAAGGCCAACAATTAAAATCTGGTCCACACACAAACTTTCCCCAGAGAATCAGCAGCAATTTAGCACAACCACACAGCACAACTGCAGGTCCCCACAGGAAGTTCCCCCAATTTTGGAATTAATCAAAACCACAGACCAGAGACAAAGCTCACTCTGATATTAACCAGTAAAGGTCTAACACCACCAAAGAACATCTATAAAATCTAGAAGAGGTAATACCCAGAAATCAACGTAAAGACACAAAGATCAAGAAAGAACAGAGAAATATAACATGACAAAGAAAACAAACCAAGCACCAGCAATGGATCCAGACAGAATTTATGACATGTCTGACAGATAACTCAGAACAACCCTCTTAAGGATGTTCAGGGAGGCACAAGAAAATACAAATAGAAAATTAAATGATATCTGGAAAACAATCAAGGAGGAGAACGAGAAACTTGACGAAGGAATTGAATCAATTAAAAAAAAAAAAAGAAATTCCAGAAATAAAGAATACAATATCTAAACTAAAAAACTCAATAGAAAGTTTCAACTTCATCAAACAGAGGAAAGAATCAATGAGCTCAAAAACAGAACATATAAAATTATGAAATCCGAAGAGCAAAAAGAATAAGAAAAATTGAAGCAGAAATACAGCAAACATGGGACTCTCTCAAGCCAAATAATCTCTGAATAATTGGCATGCCTGAAAGAGAGGAAAAAGGAAGAGACATACAAAGCATATTCAAGGAAATAATGGCTGAAAATTTCCCAAGTATGGAGAAAGATGACAGCATCCATGTACAGAAAGCTCAGAGTTCTTCCACAATTTCAATCCAAGGAGAAACACCACAAGTCACATCACAATCAAATTATCAAGAAGCAGACAAAGAATATTGAAAGCAGCATGAGAAAAGACACACATAACATTCAAAGGAGCCCCAATACATCTCTCAGCAGATTTCTCCGTAGAAACCCTATAGGCCAGAAGAGAATCAGATGATATATTCAGAGTGCTGAAGGAAAAAAGACTATCAGCCAAGAATTCTCTATCCTGCAAAACTAACCTTCAAACATGAAGGAGAAATAGTCTTTCTCAGACAAACAAAAGCTAAGGAATTCATGAACACTAGACCTGCATTAGAATAAAAGCTAAAGGGAGATCTTCTATCTGAAAGAAGAGGACACTAAGGAGAAGCAAGAAAACATCTGATGATACACAATTCATTAGTAAGATAAGTTCACAGACAATCTCAGAATACTCCAATGTTGTAAGAATGGTGAATAAACTGCTTGCATCCCTAGTATGAAGGACAAACCTAACAAGACACTAACATATACAACAACCATATAAGAGATTAGAAATATTAAAAGATGTAACTTGAAACAACAAATTGCCAAAAGGGGGGGGGGGGGAAAGCCAAAACAAGAGGTTGCCCTTTTTTTTTTTTTAATTTAAACGTTAAGTTT